GCAATAACCTCTCTCTATATCTCTCGATCTCTTAGTGTTTGTTGATTTTTTAGTGTTTTGATGTTTCTTCAAATTTTGTTGATTTGCAACTAAGTAATTTTTTTTTTGTTTTGATTTTGCAGTTGCAGCTTATGAAAGCCATTGATCCTCTCCTTGAAGGTGTCAAAAATTTGGTTGAAGGCACATGTGAAGCAGTGTTTGACAAACTGTATACATTACTATACATATATAGTAACATGTAGTTATATATGCATATATTTGTGTATTTTCAATTTTTTATTTTTTTTTTGTTCTGAGGTGATTTATAATAAAAATATTGACATGTGTAAATTTTTATTGGGGTTTATGAATTTCTTTTGTATAAGCCAGTATTCGTGTGTGTATACAATTGATCGACTAAAAATATGGGGAAAAAAGCGAACTTAACTACGAATTACTATAGGTACTATAGTTACATGTAGTTATTTTCAGTACAGCAAATATATTATTTTTAAAATTAAAAAAATTAAAAAAATTAAAAAAATTAAAAAAATTAAAAAAATTAAAAAAATTAAAAAAATTAAAAAAATTAAAAAAAATATAAAAAATTAATTTTTTTAATTTTTAAAAAAAATTAAAAAATTAAAATATATATATATATATATAAATTTAACAAACAGGTTTATTATTATTTATATAAAAAAAATAATAATAATAATAAATAAATCAGCGAAAATGATAAATACAGTACCAGAAATGCTGAATGCAGTTTGGCCGAAAATTGCATATAAGGGTATGTAAAATAACCCCTTTTAAATTTTGGTTAAGAAATATCACAATGCACTTTGATTATAAACTATTTTATGAATATTGTGAAATAATAATAATAATAATAATAATAATAATAATAATAATAATAATAATAATAATAATAATAATAATAATAATAATAATAATAATAATAATAATAATAATAATAATAATAATAATAATAATAATAATAATAATAATAATAATAATAATAATAATAATAATAATAATAATAATAATAATAATAATAATAATAATAATAATAATAATAATAATAATAATAATAATAATAATAATAATAATAATAATAATAATAATAATAATAATAATAATAATAATAATAATAATAATAATAATAATAATAATAATAATAATAATAATAATAATAATAATAATAATAATAATAATAATAATAATAATAATAATAATTAATTATTATTATTATTATTATTATTATTATTATTATTATTATTATAAAATGATTATAATTCGAGCTTTCATGTGATGAAGTGAAATGGCACCAACCTTATACTCCAAGAGGACATCATTGTCACATGCAAACTAATCTTTTTTCATGATAAAAATCAGATCCAATTCAAATTAAATAAAATAAAATAAAT